GGCAACACATTCAGAAAATGCATGATCTCTTCTGACATTAATTAGTCTGAGCTAATATAAACTTTAGTAGGCAAATCATGATTTCTTATATGACTGTGCTGAGGATGTTAACCCAATCAAATGTTATCAGTAAAAAGCACTGTCCTTCATATTTGTTTGATGTAAATGAGGGACAGCATCGATATGATATCAGGGCTATATAATTTCAGCTATCTAAATAGGCCTAATAAGCGTGATACTCCGGGATTTTTCATCAGATCATGCAATAAATTGTTTTCCCATATACACTTGAAGTGCTAAGTTAGCAACTGTAGCTATATCCCTAGGACCAGGAAGTTAATAATCCCAGGGTAAAAAATAAGTAGGTTTGTAATTAATTAATTTGCAAGTAATATATTTAGAATGTCTTAGTACTGTGCATTTCAGAGTGGTCCAGACACTAAGGAAAAGCAGAATTAGGTCCATTTAGGTCCTACCTTAAAGCAAGCAAAATTCTCATGGGCTCCCATGTGAGATGACTACAGGATCAACACAGTTTTGCTACATATTATGTAATTTGTTTAAATAACAATATTCTTATTGGTCTAGGGCAGCTTTGAGAATCATATGATCATAATGCATAAAAATCCTTGTTTCTCAGCTTATTCACCAGCGCAGCACTTTCATACTATTGCTGGCATGAAACCAGTGGAATGCAAAGGATACCAAAGAACATTTAGAGGAAGAAATTAAAAATTTAAAAAAAAAGAGAAAACAGAAATTCTTTCCTGATGCGGGGCTGCTAAGATTTAATCCTGCAAAATGTGGGGTGTATTTTCATTGCAGAGAGAGAATGGATTCACCATCCTGCTGCATCGTACACATGGAGTCTTGCTCTATTGGAAACGCTCATTTCTTCTCTGAGAGCAGTGTTTTGAATTTTAAGTATGATTAGAACATTACATTAACAGTAACATTTTAATAATCAGAATTTCAGAGACTACAAATCTTATTCCCATAAAAAGTCTACTTTTTCCAGTTTAACTCTTTCCTCTTCAACTACATATATAGAAAATTCAAACATACTTAGATAGGTTATTGGCAGCTAGCAGGGGTTTGGCTCTGATCTATCAAAACTACTTATATAGTTTTGATATATATATGGTAAGTACATGGATAATGTGAATCTCAGTCAATGCTATCTAAACGATGAAAGTGTTTCAATTTTAAAACCAGAAGCATTAAAAAGCATTTAAATACTGAGAGGGGTTTTTGTTGTTGTCGTTTGATGATTTTTTTATATTTTTTTTAGTATAAAGCAAATGCAACATAGCATACAGTGGGCTTAAATCTTATTTCATTATGCTCTAAAATTTTTAGAAGTAAAATAAATTTTATTTCCTAAAATGAAGTGTCAAATGTTTATCGGCTGAATTCCAAATTACCTTCAGTGGACAACCCAATTTCTAAATAAGTCATGCTATTTAAATATCAAAAATAATTCACTGAGCATGCTTGTAGTGCAATTTAGCAGGATTGGCCTAATAATTCTGTTTCAGTGAACACACACACTGGTAAGCATGAAAAGTGTTGCAACCTCCAAGTGGACCCAGAGTAATACATCATTTCCCTTGCTTTTATAACGTAAATACTGAAATAGTGATTATTGTCTTACCTATAAGATCCAACCATGTGGTCACCAAGTCTTAGGTCCCAGTTAATATCTGTGAAAACTTAATAAATTCCAGTGATCAATGCTTTAAAGGTTGCTCTGTAGCCACTGCCAATCCAGAATGATAGCAGCAAGGCTGTAAGCTTCAGCTCATTTTGCCTATGTTTTTTTTTAAACTTATTGGCAGAATTATATTAATATAGTGCATCTCAGTGAAAAGATGACTACTACTGTTATCTTCCCATCCTTTATAGTCACCAAATTGAGGTCAGGAAGAAAATACCTACCCAGCTGGATTAGCAGAAGATAGGTTTTTTTCCTATCCTGCAGCCTGGCATATGCTCTTTCTAAGTGGATCTGGAAATGTTACTTAATGACCTATTGCTGCAAGGTCATAATGATACCCACTGTCTTTCTTTGGCACACTGGAATTTGATTTTTTTAATGCCTTAGGTATTTGGCAGGTGATGGGAAACGTTGTACAGCATGTCATATAGTGTTGGACAATGAGCTTGGGTGTTCTGTTGACCTTTCTAGATTAGACACTTGTGTCAACTGTGTACTGGAAAAGACACAGCTGAGTTTCTGAAGGTTCCCAGGTCTGTTCTCTGATTTAATCTAGCACTTTTACAAAAATGTCTCGACTTAAAGTTTTCTTTGTGGCAGAGCACAATATGGACCCAATACTTCTAACATTTTCATATGATAATTCAGTAGAAAAGCTTTCACTGACTCAGTGTCAGTTTCTTGTTCTGCAGCCAATTGAAAACTATGTATCTATAGCATTGGCTACACATTTCTTTCAAAAATACTTCTTTTTAATCGCTGTAGATCTGATTTGTTCAACTAAGTTATTTTTAATGTGTAAGAACTGGGTCCTCTGTTTCTAATCTAATTCCAAGCCTTTTGTCCTTCAAGGTTTTCTATTAACACCTTAAACAAATGTGACTTACTGCATTCAGTAACTCCATTCTATGTCTATTTACATAAATATTTTGTACATCTGATTAACATCAGGATTGCCAGCTTTTCAAGTGGCACCCATCACAGCATAATTATGCTGTCTTGCACAATATTTTTGGCATTACAGCATTCAGCTTCATTAATGAACATTGCTAGCTAATTGACTGTATTATTATTGTGGATATCCAACTGCCAAAGGTAACTTCTCTTCCTCAGCATGCCAAATGTTAAAAGCGTCATCTGTAATTTATGGCTATTAGACACTGACACAACAGATGACAAATGTCTTTCTGCTAATGTTGTTGGGTGGTTTTGTTGGTTTGGTTTTTTTTTTTCCTGACACAGATTTTCCATTGTATTTTTTAATATTTTCCTTCCCAGTTCAACTACATTTTGTCATTTTCAATTTCACTCAATTTTAACCTAATTCTGGGAAAAATTGCCAAAAGTAGTCAAAGCAGCAGTGATTCACAGGCACACAAAGCCAGATTCCTGCAGGTCACTCAGATTCAAGAATCAATTTGTATTTCTTTTGCTTTCAACAGCAGCAGAGATCTGCCAAAATACAAGTGTGTCTGCAGTCTTGGGTAAGGGAGGAGTTACTCTGGGTCTACATGGGTCTACATAAAAATTAAGATAAGACCACTTGAAGAAAAAAAACTGAAGAATGAGAATGCCAAAAAATGAGCACTGCTAGCTAACATCTTCTTCACATAGCTAGCTGAAAGCTGAATTCTCATATTCTAATCACAATAAAGAAAAGGGCTGTGGTTGAAGAAGATATATCCCCCTACAGTAACTGTTGTGGGAGGAAATAGGTTGCCCTAGTCTTACTTTAATTAGGTCAGTACACGTGTGGAAAATATACAGCAGAGAAAGAGCCTCATTGCATCTTCCATCTGCCCACTGGGAGATGAGAGAAATGAAAACAGCAACATAAAGCAAGTTCTGATAAGTTTTGCATTACATTCCTTCTCACCTCTGCTTATCATTGTGGAAAATGTAAAAGGTTTATTAATGTCACTGATAAATACAGTCTCATCAATTTAATGACAAATATCCACAAAAATTATTATACTACTCCAAACAATAAAGGAAGACTATCTTGGAAATAACTAAAGTGCACTTATATAGCCTTCTAAAGCCATTCAGCATTTCTAAAACCATTGAGTAATATATAGACAAGCCCATTTTAATGATGTGAAACATTTTGCCCTAATGGCACATTGATATGTAAAGCTTTCCTAACATTTGTTAAATTGTCAAAAACATTCCTACCAGTGTTACAAATACCCTCAAAGAACAGATAGCTTTTGCCTTCACATCTTCCTGCTTACCTTTTTCTCTTCATATCATAAAATGCCTCTTCCTGAAATGACATTTGCAAACAAATATATGGACCACAGTAATTATAGTCACTACTCCTGATATTATTCATAGACAGTCTTCCTTTACCTGTAACATTGGAAATGCAGCCTCTATGGTATTAAATGAATTATCACTTCATGTAGACCTGAATCCAGTGTGTGTGTGTTGTCTTGTTTCTGCAGACTGTTATTGTAACCCTTTTGGTTCAGTCCATGATCGCTGTAATGACAGAGGATTTTGTGAGTGTAAGGAGGGAGCATCAGGGCCTAAATGTGATAAATGTCTGCCGGGATATATCTGGCACAGCTTGGGCTGTCAACGTAAGTAACTCAGAGTTGCCCCTCTTCTGCAACTTTGCTGCCTCTGCGTCTGTGTGCTATCATGTGCAGCTACTTAAGAGCAGAAAATGAGCAAAACCTCTGCAGGCTGCCAGAATGTCATACTGCCTGAGCCTTTCTGGAGACTCCCAGATGAGGACAATAGATTGGTTGTGCCATCCGTTAATTTTAGTACACTTTCAGTGTCCTTGCTCTTGCTAATTCTTGCAAGAGTTCCCACTGAAATATATAAATGTGTGTGTCTTGCTATCTGTGAAAAACGTTTCGTGTACTAACATATCAGCATATTAAATCCAACTTTTAAATTCTGCCTAAAAGACAAAAGGTAATTTCTCTGCATGTTCATTTTTTTTCCTACTAAATTTCAATCTCTTGGATTAACTTAATCATACTTTCACACCGTAGAACTAAGCCTCAGAGCAATACAACTGCAAAGTGCTGGCTTATTATATGTTATAATTAGTGAAAACTACACAAAATTTAACAATAATATTAAAATAGAATTGAAAAAAATGTCCTTAAAAATAATAGCTGAAATTTGGTGTAAACATTGTTAGCAGCAGGTGCTGTTTCAGCAGTTCCTTGGATATTTAGATACTTTTCTCATTAACAGGTCTTGTAAACATATGAGTGGAAATATCCAATCAGTACACACTGGATTAGGCTTTCATTGTCAGTTTCTTTTGTTATAACTGTTTTGAATTCTCACTTCCAGAAACTCTAGAGACCTCTCATGATTTTTTTTTTTCACCTTTTCACAAGAAAATCAATATGATTCTTTGCAGTATAATTTGAATAAAGCATAGCAAACACTTATGTTCACTCTGTGGGTTTAAATAAGATATTAAGTAGCTAAGATAATGAATAGAGCTGAAGGTCTGTGTACTGTGTTGTACAGTCACATAATTAATATGGCAATAGATAAAATAGGCTGTCAATTGCTTATTAATCACACTGTTTCCTGTCGTTATGTTTTGGACATTATAACCCCAATAATGTTCTTCTAATGAGTATTTTTTGAGCCCAACATATAATTAGCCTGATTTTACCTGAGTCAGACTATTTGTAAAAGTTTTAGACAGTTTCTGGAAATGCAAGCTAGTGCTTTTCTGTTTGCTGACAGAACCAATTAAGTGTCCCTCTCTGCATTGTAATTTTCTGAACAAATCTCCATCTGATTGTGTTACTGTCAGATAACCCCCAAGTTTCATCAACTTATCTGAACAAGTTCAGAAGAAAAACCAGATGCAGTGGTTAATTTTATGGAACAGACACAAAATTTAAAGTCTTTTCATGGAGGAACAGAATTCCAATTCATTTAATATTGCAGTGTGGCAATTTTAGCTTGGTTTTCTTCCCATTGAAATCTGAACAACTTGCTGGCAAACAAGTGGGTCCCAATATACAGAAAAAATAATAGCTCATTCTTCTGCCTTAACAGAGCACAAAAGAACTATTTGTCTGGACTTGTAGCACATGGTCATACAGGTTTACCTTGAGCTTGCACTGCACAGAAATATAAATATGCTAAGATGGATACACACGCAGCGCACCAATATGACTTTGTTTACTTTTTGTCATATGTAGCCTATTGGTACTATTACAAAAATCTATTTGTATGGAGCTTTGTTGCTAAACTTCAATGACCTAGGACAGTCAGAAGCTTTACCCAAAAATAAAGTCAAATCTATATTGCAGCTAGTTTAATTATTCTAATGATAGTGGTAGTAAATGAAATGGCTTAGTATCAAGCATTAGTGAACCTATTTGGGAAAAAGAGTGCTGAAAATCCTGTTGTGTTCTAAGGCTCACAATACATCATTTGATAAATTACTGTTCAGAGTCTCGCTTGTACAACACATGGATGAAAGACACAGAAGCTATTATCCTCAGAAGTATTCGTTTAGGTACTGCACTCTTACTGATTTCATCTAAAACCTTTGAGGATCTAGGTAGAGCTCTCATCACTTGCTTCTCTGTGCATACAGAGGTCAGATGCAATTTAAGACATTGCCTCCCAGATAAAAAGCACCGTGATAACAACTGTTATCTTACTGAGTTCAGGGTTTATGCTGCACAGACACAGCAGTCAGCCAGGATCTGGTTAGAACAGGATGGTTTGTGCCCCCAGTAAAAAAAAAAGGCAGAGGTGCAGCTGTGCCTCCGTGTCTACCTCTGGACACATCCACGCTGCAGGCAAAGTGTAGGGGAAGCAGCCAGGGCTCAGCCCTCCACCACTCTTCCACATACCTCCAATGGTTTTCTCACCTGCACACATACAGAGATCTAAGTGAGGAGAATGAATTCAGAAGAGAATTTTAGAATCTCAGAAACATTGGAAACAGGATAGCCATATTTAATTTTTCTGTCTTACAGCAATTAAGTCATTTCCTTTAGAAAGCAATGTAGAAACAGAACAAAATAAACCTCTAAAGCTGGAAAGAAATTTAACCAGCAGTGACAGTTGTTTTGGTCCAAAGTGTCCAGTTCCTAGTGATAAGAGGAATCCATAACAAAAAGTAGAATAATTTGCACAGAACTGACCAAGTCTAAAAAACAGATGAAGGGAAAATACCATGCAGGACCATTTTGATTTTCTAAGCATGCAGGTTCATAATATTGCATATGTCATATTTCTCCTCCATGTCATGTCAGGCATCTAAATTCTGTTGTGTTCATATAAGAGTGTTTGAAAACAAACCTTTTAATTTCAATCTCACTACAACTGATTCCAAAGCCAGCTGTGTATTTATCCAATCCATCAAAGAAAAAGTTTCTCTTTTGGCAATCTCAACTTGGCAATGGAACTCTAATGTGCCTAAGACATGACCTTCCCATGGAGAAAAAGATGATATTATTCACTATCTTCCTTCATATGATTAATGAGCAAAGAGGGATTTTGGAGTTATCAAGCATAGCTTGCACCCAGAAATTAAATTCAGTGTATTTATTGACAATAATTGTTTTAAAATGTCTTGCTTCAGTTTTCAGTCAGATGCCTTACATTGATCTCTGAATAGTTGCTTTTATTTTATGCTTTTATTTTTTTTCCTATTTCAAATATTTTTTATTAAGGCAAGGAGAAGATTAAAATTACATTCTTATCTTAAAAGCTCAAAGTGTGCTCAGTGCTTGTATCTGTACTGACCTTTTATCACTCTGCAGCCCGCTAGATAATTCATATTCTGTTACAGTATGCATTTGATTTCTCGTATAAGTTAAATATATATTTTTTGTCTACATTTTATCACATGATACAAATGTGAGAACCCCAGGCATTTGATCAAAATCATCATGCAAATTGAATTTCAAAAGAAAGTCAAACTAGAAGTTGTGATCCTGTGAATTATATTAACATTGGCTTTTGGAAGTTTGTGTTTCAGTATTTGACAATAAAAGATGCGTTACCATTATTTTCTTAAAATACATCACATTCTTCTTTCCAGACTGATTAAATATATAAATGTAATGGTCTCTCCTCTTGAAAGTTAGCAAGTTTTTATACTTATCTGTACGCAGATATATCTGCTAGCCCTTCTATATCTATACACTGACTTTCTGCATGGGGAACTATGACAAATTCAGAACTGGAAAGCCCTGTTTTCCATTTCACCTTTGTCTGTGTGCCTGTAAGACAATCCAATCTATCTTATTACATCCTTCTACCAGTGGCAGTTGTAATGCTTTTATCTTGCCAGGATATAGCAGGATTTCCCCTCAGCACAGGTGCTGCACAGACTTCTAGTTCTAGTTTTAGTGCCAGGACTGGTGCTAGCAAGTGCACTGCCTCTTCAGAGCCAAAGGGAAATAAAACACAGACAGAATTGACTGAAAGGTACCAAGTTCTGAACAATGCCATCCCCAAGGAACATTTTTTCCTTGTTTTTTTATACACAAAATACTGCTTTCACAATATCTATTTTACATGACTGTTATGCAGAATGAAGAAATTGTGTGTGTATAGGGATTTGGATGTCAAAGAAACAGTCTGCTTCAAACTACTCTAAATTTAAATGCAGAATAATTCTCCTTAAACCAATCCGGAATCCCACAGCTTCAACTCAAGGCAAAGTATGACTTACAGGTGTAATAACGAGTAAGGCAAAATTACAAACAAAATTACATTGTTATCAGACCTGATTCTCAGATGATTCAAAAATGCTGATTCCATTAACCTCAGTGGAAGCATGCTGGCTTACTACACGTGCTGAAATCCTAGGTCTTTTAGAGCTGAGAAAAGACAATGTGAATATGTTTATTAACACAGTAATTCCAAGATACACGGCCCACAAAACAGCCATGCATATATAGCAATACATAGACAATTTCTTACTAACAAAGTATGATTATTATGGAAAGTTATTACTTTTTAATGAGATGTTGGATTTAAAGGAGAAACAGAAGGCTCATTTCTCTGCAGAGAGGGTATTTTGACACCAAAAAAAAACAAAACCAGAACACAAACATTGCATTTTACAAAAAGGATGAAATGAACTATCTTTCCTCTATGAAGAGCAGAGAGAAAATGAAAACATACGATGCTTTCTATATATAGTATTACACAGATTCACATAGTTACCATAATATGGCCAGTTGGAATCAAGTCTCAGACTGCTCTTAGTACTGCCTCATTAAAATCTGTCAAACATCATGAAAATGGAGTAACCTGCAAAAAGAAATAGGTTAGAGAGACATTTGTATGTGCTCAAAGACATTATCAAAAGCACCTCTGTGCTGGAAGGAAAGCCTCTGTGAATAGAATAAGGATTATGAGTAAGGTAACACCTGTGTGGGGGGCAGCTCGAGAAAATAATAAAACAAACAGAAGGAGGAATAGCACAGGGCTAGTTCACATAAGTTAGCATCTTGCAAAGAGGCATGAGGCTCTTAATACACTGCAGCTCTTTGGCTCAAGATCTCTGATAACGAAGTGATCAGATTTGCTTTCACTGAAGTGAACAGAAATTGAGCATCAGCATTTGCATGTTTGACTTTTATTAGAAATTTTTTTCCCCTGCAAAGTAAAGGATTGGATTGGTGCAAAGAAGTTCTCTTGATCTTGCCCAGGTATCAACTGTTCCAGAGCTGTCCAAACTCTTCTAATGACAGGTGCTGCAATCCCACTGCTCCCAGTTTTAATCCCACATCCCTAGAAATATCTCAGTCACTTGTTGGACTGTCAATGAACCATTTTAGAGCTAAACCAGCAGGAGACTAAGCAAGCAAGTATTTTCTGCTGCACTGGAGAAGCAGAGGCAGCCAGGGAGAACAGCATCCTGTGCTGGGAGGGAAGAACCCTGGAGGCCGGGCTGCAATGGGCTGCCCCACAGCAGCATTCTCCTCTCTATCATGAGATCAGTCACATGACAGTTACTGGTATTTGTACCAGATAAAGCCACACAGTTTCAGATGAAGAAGCAAGTGGATAACAGGGAGACATCCTAAAAAAAAAAAAAAAAAAAAAAAAGCAACTGTTCTATTTTCTCTCCACCCTGCACTCCAAAAATAGAAAAAGAAAAAAAAAAAGCCACCACCGAGCGTACAGAACAATACTCTTGTGTTGAAATGACATAGGAACTTCTTACAGACAGAAAAAAATGATATTATTCTACATGCAGGAACAAAATGAACAATAGCAATGGGTTGGAGTAGAGCTCATTTCAAAACAGGCCAATTTGAAAAGAGGGAATAAAGTTTCCAGGTACTGCAGTATTTTTGGCACTATGTCAAAAGGAGCATTCTGAATAACAAAATACTAGGAAATTCATAAAAAGTTAAACAAGTAGCATTATTTGTTTTCTTTAGTCAGATGATTTTAAAATGGTTAATATTTGATAGCACAATGATAAATATTTTAATACAGTGTATTGCAGTCAGTAAGGAATAGATCAAAAATATACAAAGTAAGATCCGTAAGATAAACTTTTATTAGGCACATGAAATAGAACATAAAGCTTGATAGCAATTACTGTTTAATCTATTCACATTTGGAAACATGTTGAAGGGAAAACTTATAAAACAGTTAATTTTTATGAATTATTAAGTGTTCTTTTGAACAGTGATGAGCAGGTCTTTTCCTCTGAAAATCTGTCCTGTTTTCCTTGTAAGCCTGCTCAGTGGCCATAACTATAATTTGCCTGCTCAGTATGTTTTTATGTGGACAGAAATAAAAAGATCTATTCCACCACAGACACACTCAGATGGGACATTTTTATAAAGAGTTCTTAAAAGGATCATTTTAGGAGCAAGTTAAATAATTTCCATCCTACTTACCTGGAGTTAAAAACTACTGACCCAAAGCAATTAAAGACAGTCGACACTTCCTGCCATGCCATCAATACAACTGACGGCAGTGCTGACACCAGAACATGCTGATAATTAAAGCTTCAGTATTTAGGGCTTTAACTTCATTTACATATTGGCAAATATATCTCTCCCCAGAGATCTTTCTGTTCATGCTGATGGCAATGTGAAAATCAAAGTTTAGTTGATAGGTGTGAACTTGTAAGGTGCTGACTGTCTTCCCTAACAGAAGCTAGCCTCCCCCAGTGCAAGTAAAATTAAAAATTAAAATAAAGGCTGTTAATATTATGCATTAATAAATGGGTACCACTGAAGCAGGTATACCAATATTCAGTCTATCTGTATATAGCTGATGACTCAAAGCTTTTTAAAGATGTACCGCTACTATCTGAGGTACTTCCAAAAATTTTGGATTTCCTTATTCGTTGACAGTATCTGTTATGAATAATCTATAGAGGTGTGAAACATCTCAGACAACATTTTAAAGGAATTCAGTTGAGCCAAAGGATTTTTTTTACTTAGTATCAATATGTTGTACTTCAGCAATGAATTTCTGGAAATAATCAAGGCCTTTCAAGATCTGAGCTCCTAATTAGAATGCTTAACAGAACTATTTTTTTTCACTGTATTTCTTAATTTCCACTTCTGAGCATCTTACCTAGCCTGTAGTAAAGCTGGACTTCAAAACCTGCATGGCTTGCGATTGCTTCACATTTCCAGGCCTGTCAACCCTTAGGTAGAAGCCTAAGAAAGTCTGCAACCAGGGATCAATTTACCCCGGTACTGTGTACCTGACGGTAGTGTTGAGTGGTATTTCATTTAGCTTTGGCATCCAAACTCCAGGAAGATACAATATAGGGACTTTCTTAGCCAAAGAATTCATGAATACCTTCATATTTGGTCTTGATGAGCCTTTGGTCCACTGATTTGTCTAGTCACTTGTTAAGAACAATAACAAATACAACAATTTTTCAACTGGCTGACAATTCCATTTGGTTTTTCCTAGTTCTTGGGCAGAAGAGATGTAATAATAAATGAATAATCATTTCCAGTTCATCTTTTCCATAATATTCAAGATTTTATAGATGTCTACTGTATTTTCCTTCAATATATCTTTGCTTTCATAAACTAAGTAATCCTTATTCATTTAATCCTCCCTTTACCAGTAACTAACTGTCTATATCTACAATCAGATGACTCTACTTTTTCTATTAATACCATATACCTTGTCAATATTTCATGTAGTATTAGAGATTGGTGCACCATATGGTGACAGTATAATGTTTTCTGTTCCATCTTTTTTTCCCAGACTAAAAAAGAAAACCAAGATTTTATTTGCCTCTGATGCAGAGCATTAAGTCAAAATTGTCAGTAAACTACCCAGAACTACTTCAAAGGTCTTTCCTAAATGGTAAAAGTCAAGTAGCTATATGGGTGGAGGTTTTTGCTAGGCATTACTTGTCATAACTGAAATTCACCTGTGGTGTTACTCTATAATCACCCAGTGGCTTAGAGATGCTTTTGAAAATCTTTACAGCACAACATTTTTATAATATGAGCAAACTTTATTACATTACTCTTCATTCACTTTTCTAGCACAGTTCTGCATTTAATTTCTGACACAATTCTTGCAGGTCTGAATGGTAGACTCTTTTCAATTGTAATAACTGACTTTCATTCCTATCCTATTTCCCATTATTTATACCATCATTAATGACGCTTGTAAAAATTGACACTTATTTCATGATATCTTTATGTTTATCTGAAAAACACTGCTGAAGGATCTCATTAAATGCTTTTGGAGATTGATGTTATCAACTTGATCATGTGTCCACATGCTGTTTACCGATTCCTTCAGAAAATCTTCAACTAAGTTTCCATGCCACTTCCTTTTATTCCCCTCTACACACGCACACACACAAATTAGAAAGTTCATCCTTGCTTGTCATACTTGTTCATTTATTTGCTAATTCTGTTCTTCCTTACAGTTCCTATCAAATCACTTCCTGCTGAAGTCTGTAGTTCTTCTCAATCTCTTTGGAGCTCTTTAGAAAAATCTCATCTGCTAAAGCTGCTTCTAATAGCAAATAAAGTCTGTCCTGACAATTAAATTTGTAAAATCACAGGTAACAGAAAATTGTTTCTGCTTTTTTCAAAATCCTTGGATCAATATTATTTGCTTCCTGTGACCTGATACAACAGTGTTCTCAAATTTTTAAGAATGGTTTGTGCAGACCTTGAAATGCCTTCAGAGTATGCCCCCATCAGGAGAAGCAGTGACATGGTAACCTCCTGAAGCTCTTCCACGTACTAAATACTTGATAGATTTTTTTCCACATCCATACCTGATACATCATCCGTTTGTCCTACAGACTTACAGGAAAGCTTATGCTTCTGATCTATTTCCAAAAACAAATTTATTACTGATTTTATGACTTTAATACATTGCCCTAATTCATTTATGGCCTGCCTTGGTGCCTTAACATGTTCTTGAAGTTAATATCCTTGAGTTGATGCTCTTTTCTTTTTTCCTTCATTTTATTATAATTTCAGAGTTCTTCTTTACTGTTTGTAAATAAATCTATTGATAATTTTTTTTGTTTTGATATTCACTGTGCATCTATAACATGACTGGCTCACCAAATCATCTGCAGGCATGGTGCTCCTTTGGCTTCTTTCTTGCTGATAAGCGCCTACCTACATAATCCTCACCATTGTTCATGTACTAACCCTTACAGTGACTTCAGGTTCACCCCATATTTAAGCTTATAAGTAAATATTTCATCAACAAACATGAGAATGATAAAATGAGAAACAAAATCATAAGTGCCAGTCCATGTTTTTAGCCAGAACTTTGACTGCTCCTCATATAAGAACAATGAAAGCAAATAAAGTTTTGCAGGACTCAGCCAAAATGTATTTAGAGGGGAATGAAAGCCCAAACACAAGTATTGTGATATTCAGTACAATATTAATGGTATTGTTCCTGTAATTTTAATTCATCACTGTGCAATTTTGAGATAATCTTGCTGATTATGAATGGCTCTTCCCTCGTGTTGGACTATATCCAGCAGCAAAATCACTAACATAAACTTTTAATGGGAGCCAAGTCAAGCCTGTTGTAATTATCTTGGCTATTCTAAGGAGAATAATTAAGTCTTTAATAAAAGTTTTACTGTGATGATCAGGTAAGAAGAAAGAGATGTGACAGTAGTGGAAGTTTTCTACAGAGAAGAGAGAAGAGTTTGATCGTAACTCAGATGTTGATAATTAATGTCTGTAGGACCTCTGTCAGCTTGGTGAATTATAAAGGGAACACATTCATTAACATCTCTTATTACAGTACACTGCTGGAGCACATGATGATTAAAGCATTATGCCCAAAACTACTTTGCGGCTTTTTGTAACTACAGCTTGGACAAGTACTTCTTTATATGCTATTTTCTTCTACTCTTCTAATAACTGCCTTTTGTTCAGATAGAACTGCAAAGCTACATATTGACAATTATGTGGATTCCATTGGCTGAACCTAGAGACAACATTTTGATTTGTACTTCTTTTTGTAGATCAATTTACACACAATTTTTCCTCATTAAACTTAAGGCAGTAAGTTCGAAAATCTTTTGTACTCTGTAGACATATGTGGATCCTGTTTATTTTCCATATGTACAAAGAATAAACTATAAAAAAAACATCTGCTGATGAAGAGAAATACTATTCCAGCTTAGGAGGTCAGCAGTGGAACTGTATAGTGAGCATCTCTGAATTGCTGAACAGTCAAATTTGAAGGCTTTTCCAATGGGCTCAAAAATCTATTCTTGCACTTCAAAACTGCTAGGTTATAAGGAGCTTAGTCATAACGTCTTCGCAGAATGAACTTTCCCCTGAAAAGTTATTTACATTCATATTAACTAGCACCCGAGCAACTATAGGTCAGGAATGCACAAGAATTAGAATCAAAAGAGCTCCCAGCTTTTACCCATATACACTAGCCATTTTCAGCTCCCATACACACTGACTGATGCAGGAACAACAAACACCTCCAGTATTCTGAGCACAAAATATATGTCCATGGCAGACAATTCTCAACAGAGCACAACTGTGTCCTGTTAATGAGAATGCTTCATCACTGAGTTCTGAATATTATATGTACTCTAAATGGAAAATGAATTTCCCTTTTAAGTCAAAATATTTTGAAATAGGACTCCTACTTTGAAGAGTTTAGAATATCATTTCTAAGAAGAGAAAAGAGAGTTTTACCACGCTCTTTAAGAACTGAAGCTGCATTTTGCCAGAGAGGCAATAAGCACTGACTAGAGCCCAGGGAGAACATGCTACTCTCACAAGGTTCAGAAAAGCAGCTTACTTCCTCCTGATTTCAAGAACAGGAGAATCCCAACATGAGATCTAAACTGGGACTGTTATTGCAAGGACATTTATATTGAGGGCAAAAATAACACCCTTAAATCAGCCCCATTGTGCTGGCATTATACAGCAAATTGCAGCTCTCTGCAAGACTTCAGTTATAAGGAAAAAAAAAAAAAATCTCATTCCACACATATTTACAGACAAATTACAAAATTGTATTACAATGTAAATGTCTCAAAAAAAGAAGAGTCAGGTGTTTTGAAATTACTCAAATTACATGCGCACACGTGCCATTTGGTACATTGGGAAGGCACATGAAACAAAGGCTGTGGGTGCACAGCATAACTTCTGCACTGATTTGGAAATTTGGATCCAGATTTATACCACCTATCAAAATATAACCATATACTGCTATAATTTTTACGCAATGACCTGAGAGCTGTGCTTGTTCATGCAAAACCCTCACTGATTTAACACACAAATGCTGCTTAGAGAAGTGTGCTTTGGTTATATCTTTCATTCAGTGGCACAATGACAACTTAACGACACTACAGCCCACGCCTGCTCTGCAGCATTAGAAGACCTGAAGTGTACTGCAGGTAGAAAACACAAAGCCAGCTCAGATGTGTTGGGTACCTGCTGCACCTTCTCCCACCCATCCTGGCTTTGGCCCAAATCCCTCTGTTCAGTTCCTCTCCTCTTCAGCATTCATCTTTCTTTGAGCTTAGCAAATGTTCATTCTGTAGCTTTCTTGCAGACTTCAGAAAGGCATCATCCCACTCAGATTTGCCATCTTACCAATTGGGAAAAGTTCTCTCAAAGAGCATTTCTTACTCCCTCCATGCTCTTATTTCACTGTCCGTGTGTTTGGAACCTCAGGAGCTAAGGAACCCTGTGGGAGTCTATCCTGCCCAAGACCATCTGTCTGTGCAGAGGTTGGCCTGTGACATGATGGCTACCTGGGCTTGCCATGTGGATCTATGGAGCAGGAGGAAGTTCAGTGTTTGATCTCTCATGAAGAGAGCATGAATAGTACTACAAAAAAGTCATCTTACCTGGAAGTACAGCCTTTTCTTGTCTTCCAACACCATGCACCTGTATCGTGCACTTTACACAGGCATGCTGCAAACACAGGTTCCTCACGCAGGAGGGAGTGCAAAGGAGTATATGCAGTCCTGGGGAAGATCAGGGATCAGAGGGAAGGTAGATTTCCATTGCAGTCTCTGCCAAAGCTGTCGAAAGAGAAGGATAAATATGATAGGAGTTATGCATGTCCAGCTTCTGTAAGGTTGGGTTCTGCATGGGGGGATGTCTGGGGACAGGAAAGAGTAGACTGGAAAAGATAACCTTGTCAGGAAATGCAGCTTTTTATCTGAAAGTTATTTAGCAGAACTCTATTTTCATTTTCTCTAAGAATCCTTCAAAGAAAAATACTGTTACTTTAAAAATAAAAATAATAAACCTTTTAGAAATACATTTTCATAAAAATTGAACATTTTGTGTGTGACACTTCCATATCTAAACTGAAGGAGAGTGTATGAGTTAGTAACATTACTACCTGCAGGGCTCTAAAAGAGTGTGAGGAAAAAAGTCAGTTTTGGCTGTTAAGACTCATATGTAAGTGGAAAATTTTTTGAGTAGTGCTATCATTTTTCATATCACGAAGGTTGAAGGTATTGATATGACATATCGTAAGAAACATAACACACTGATTATAGAGGAACATACTGAACCTCTGTCCAGATCAATGTAGATGTCTTATTTTTTAACACTAATATGACTTGGCAATCTTCTGAAAATTGGAGAAAATAGCTGTAAATAAAGTAAAGCAAGTAATTCTAAGTGAAATAATATTTTGCAGTTATCTATTCCTTGAGGGTCTCAGGTTACTTCAGTCTTCACTAATAATTAAATTTTAGCACCTTTGCACATCAAAAGTTATGCAAGAAGTTTCCCTCTGTTGAGTACAGAAGGAAACAGTTTTGCTCTTTTAAGAGCCCTGTAACTGGATTTTTTTTTGTATCTGATTTCTCTTAATATTTTGTCAAAGTATGATCAATACTCATATTCAGAGATGCTATCTTTAGTTCATATCACATTACAAACAACTTTTCTGACACTGTATTGCTGATAAAATGTTATTACAACCCTGTTACCTTCTAATTAACTTAATTGTAACAACTGCATAATATTATTGTGTAAAATATGTAGGTCAGTGTGTCTGTCCATCTTCAAATCAGCCAATCTTCCATAACATATCATGAATTCTAATTGCAGACTTACCAAAACATCACTTTTGGAAAGACAAATCAATAGTTATGGCCTTAGAAATTTTGTTAGGAGGCAGTATAGTTAAACCAGGACAGCAATTTTGTAGTGTGTTTTGGTACAAGTGTCTTTTGGACATTTATGCTGAATTATGTGATAATAACTAAATTAACTAAAACACTGGCTAAGTTGATGCTGTTGGTTACATCTCTGCAGCGCATTGCAGCAAAACTAGTGCACCTGAAAAGGATCATTCTGAAAGACCAGTATCTATTTTCCATCTGCGATCCATCTATTACCCAACTAATGGCTGCCCTGTCGCGAAGATAAATGCACACTGATGCCTAGAGCTAGCCTGTGTGTAGCAGTAAATATTGTTGGTGAAAACTCTCATGAAGTACTTAATAGCTTTAATTATTTGACGCATTAACTTATTAGTTCTCATTTTTGCTGAGTGGTAAAAGCTAGCTTATTGAATCACCTCATAGATATTCCAGTGAAAAGAGTAGGAAAATAAAGCACTACAGCAATTAAAATCGCATTTCCAAGACAGCATATTATCATCTAGTGTGTTTCAGAAAGGAATTATGACATGAGATCATAAGATCATTCCTTGATTTCATTTTAATGAGATAACAATATAAATAAAATCAAAGCCAAGATAAAGCAAAAGAGACAGTAAAGTTTTGCAAATGTTTCTTTCTGATATATGAACATGAAGTAGCCAAAGATTTAACTGGTCAGATTAGAAGAAAGCACACACATGACATCATTATTTCTAGTTGTCAGAATATTTAAACATTTTATGCAATTGCACATGCCACTTATAACTAGATAAGATTGCATATCCCTTTTTTAACTTCGTAGTTGGTAAATGTTTTTAAATCTGAGACTCTCCAAATTCCCTTGGAAACAGTGATCAAATGTGCTGTTGCATACATCTAAAAAGACAGTACAGTGCAGTAAACAGCACAGGAATGCACTGAACCTGCATTTTTACCCTTCTTTTGTTAGGGCAGGCAAACCATTTGACTTCCCTTGGCATCAACCTCTCTATTGTTCACTGGCAGCAGTAACTCTTTAGTCACTGTGAAGAGCTTTGTGAGACCTACAGGGGCAATGTTTTTATCCCCACTCCAGAGTCAGCTTAACAAAAGCACTCTGAAGACTTTCATCCACATTCAACACAATTTGTCAGTGTAAATTCCCAGCATTATTGCTTTAACAAGAAAATGTTATACCTCAGATTTCAGGTACTTTGCAGGAGCTATATAAATACCTTTACATTGTAGCTAATCTTCACAAACTTTGAAAGTTCACCTGATGAAAGATCCTAGGCCGTTTACTTTGCACATTCATGTTTCAGTGTTCCATAGCAGAGTATTATCCTAGCACCTTATGCAGAATTTCAGTTTTGAAAAGTACTTGCTAGAGAAATGCAAATTCATTGTAAGAACTTGGTTTTAGCCTTACTTATGGTTACCCTAACATAGCTGAAAGTTCCAATTAAATAATACAGAAATATCTTGTATCTATCAATTGCTTCAGAGTTTCTTTTCCCTTTGATCGTTACATGTGCATCCTATTTTAATATCTTTGCTACTTATGACAGTGTAATTTAAGATTACTGATGTTTCCATTGGGTAGAAGTCGCAGTGAAGCTTCTGACAGATATTGCTCACAACAACTCACTTTTTATAGGAGTCACTTCCAATGCTTGTTGCACAGTAGCACTGTGTTACAGCAGATGTCAAATGCAGACAAGGAAGTGGTGCATGGCAGGGAACCTGCAGGCAGGAGGGCTGCAGGCTAACCAGGGAAGTTACAATCTGCAAGGGCCCTAAGATATTTGGGGAACCAAATCCAACCACCAACTGTGCACAGGGCCTTCTGATAACCACTGTATCCTCTGTATCCAAAGGGTCATTATGCTTAACCAGTTTATTGATAGTCGCTATATCAAAATTCAGACTTAAACAAGTAGCCATAAGGGAAGAAGACATATGGTTTACGAGTGTTCATTTGTCTCCAGGAACATAGAAATAATGGCACTATACCTACAATTTTTTTAGAGGAATATGAGTGATAGGGGTATGTAGTTTGCCTTTTGAGCAAATAAAGCTATGATGTAGCTTATTGCTTTCCTGAGATTATACTAAAACATGGTGAGAGACATAGTGAGACAGTGGTCCTCCATAAGCAAAGCAATAAAAAATATGGGGCATTTTTTCTTCTCTTTGGAAATAATTCTCTTTTGGACAAGTAAAAATCAAAACCATCCAAATCGTGCAACTAAAGGTTAATTAACCGCTTCCAAAAACCCTCCAATCTTTTCTGGTTTCATCTCAACCATAATTCTTAGATGACTAAATCTACATTTGTTTCCAGCCATTTTAACAAGCAATCTGGTGTTTTCTCTGTTAAGATTGTTATGACTCCTCGATCAGGCAAGTATATGTATTCCCAAATTCTCCCCATCTCTCAGACGGATTTGATGTGTTTCTTCCCATTATCTTTTGTTAATTAAATCTAAGGATTTTAGATAAAATGAGACATGAAAAATGATAAAGTAGTCACAAGTTGTGAAATAATTTCCTACATCCGTCTGTCCTTTCACCATGCTTTAAAAAAAATAAAATTGTTCTATGGTGGAATTTACACTTTTCAGTAGCAAAATCATGAAAGATGGTTACCCACATGGATGCCAGGATAAACTGGAACCTATTTGCAAGAGAGCAGAATCACCATCAGTTCCATGGCTGTGCACAGGGAAGAGCTCTGAACAGTAGCTGCATCTTCTTCTGAAGACTTTTCCTGCTATTTGAGTATAAGCAGCATAGCTATGGAGTGAAAATGGTGCAGAAAAAGACTGAAATTAGACATAGACAAACAATCCAAGAATTCTACCAGAAACTTGCACAGTAAGTGCAGTTTATTCATGACGCTCCTATTATTTACTCTCTGATGACTTGGATAAAACTGGCTTCACTTAAAAAAAAAAAAAAAGCACTTGTGCCCCAAACTTGCATTTCTCAGACAAGATGGAGATGTCTGCCCTTAGAAACTATTCTCATTTGGTCAATGTTTATTCCCTTGTATTGTTCACAATTTTATTAATCATAAATAATTTCAAAGTTGCACCAGAGATATTTGTATTATTTGTCATTTTATGGCAGTAAGTTTGACACAGTAGGGTATGCCTTAGCCTTGTCTGCACTGATTTATTTTGTCTCAACTTCAGAATGTGCCTTGGTGCGTAAGCAAAAACCAGTTTCCTTCTTATACTACATAAGCATGTATCTCATCTTGATTTGGCAGCATCTTAAGATAGTTTTATTTAACCCAGTGCAGCAAATGGTCAATTGCTGTCACTTCAAAAAATAAACCATTGTGGATATATTTAAAGGAGCAATAACTGTTTTTTTATACCAGCTCTGATTGATTTAAAACCTCTGAGTAGGTCTGATAAACACTCTGACATATATTCATGGCATTAATATATATATGTATATATGCACATGCACACACACATATATATATACACATATATGTATATACATATATCACAGTAAATTTAACTGATAAATTAATAAATAAATCTTAACAATAAATTTTAACAATAGTCTAATAGTAGACCTAATTGGAAGAAAGCTAGGGGAGGAAGTCTTAGTGATGAAACCTCCAAGTGAGTTACTGACCACTCTTTATTCAATCAGTAAGACGCAGTTGCTAAAAAAATTTGAGGTTGTCATGAAGTGTGCAACAACAATTGTTGTCAACATCTCAGAAGCCTGACTATTGAAAACATTTCCCCATGCTCTTACATACTCGTTCCTAATATTTACTTTATATGGCTGAAATCTCATGAGAGTCAGTGGAGCTCCACATAAAAATCCTTAAAGCATAATAAGAACAGAATTAAAGTTCTTTCATACTGTGTAAAAATAATGTCATCTGAAATAGACTGCATGACCCATCTCCAGTAATGTCAGTTTGACAAACTGTAGGAAAAATATTAGTTCATGACTGCAGAGGTTTTCTTGTGCATATTTGCAATACATACATGTAGGTGGCAATATCCCTAGCTATAAACAAGCTTCCTTTTTTGTTGCAGTTGTTCGGTTTTGTTGTTTCGTTGTTTGGGGTTTTTTTTAAATATATATATATATATATTTTGTTCTGGAGGGAGAAGGAAGAAGGGGCTGTTGTTTTGCTTTGTTTTAAAACTGTTTAAATGATTATATTTTTAAAGAATAATGCCCATTTTTTCTTCAGCCACTAGGCCTGCATGCTTTCAGTTATTAAGGATGGCTGAAATCCAATCCAAAAATTCTCATGATTTTGGTAGCACCATTCATACAAATTACAGAGGAACAGTAAGGAAAATTCACTGCATCAGAAATAGAGCAAAAACCTGTGACAATTCTCTAGAAAAGACCAAACTGTGTAATATACTAAGAGGTGAACCCATCAACATGTCCAAATCCTATAAGACGCAGGCTCCATAAGATGAAAAGTGCAAGTATGGAGAGAGTTGAAAGAAGGGAGCTGTAAGAAATGATATAATAAAAAAAAAAGTGCAATGAAGAAAAATAGCGGTGGGAAAGATCTAAAAAAAACACTGCTTGTAATGAAAGGGTTAAGAATTCTCGATAAAATAAAAAGGACTTTGAATAAAAAGATATATTTCTTTAATTTCACTGTTAATGATCTTTATGCTGTTTCTACAAACAACAAACATTTCAAAATCAGTCCTGACTGTGAGGAGAAAAGGAATGCCGTGTATCTCAGATCAAAAAAATTGTTTTGGTTTGGGGTTTTTGTCTGCTTGTTTTTTAAGTGAGTCCTTCCTCATGTTTGTTTGGCTGACCCACCTGTATATGATGCTACTGTAGGCAAGCTGAACCAAAACAAAGGTAGTACGAAGTAAGGTACAAAATATACTTTCTCCTCTCTTTAATGGCCTCCCTGAAGGATAAGAGGCTAAAAGAAATTAGTCTTAAACCCATTATGGTATTTTTTTTC